GATATCTACAGTCTAATCTCTAGCGGGCTATCTCCTACTTTTCTTTACTTTTCAGGATTTTCTCTTTTTTCACTCAAACAGAAAATAAACGACCTGATCTTGACTAAAATACAATTTCTGCAAGAAAACTCATTGGAAGAAACAGAAAGGGCCAATAATTTCCACTAGATTATTAATACTTGGGTGGTGCTACGCTACCCGGTTCAAAAATCAGTCGAATTATTATAACAGCGATAAACTGGGTTCTTCATCACTTACTGTCAAAATATCCATAATAGAACTTGACAACGCAATCAGTTACATAGTTGCCAGGAAGAAACAGTCTTCCAGTCCATGTAAGTCCATTCCAGATCCACTCGGCCTGCCATGTAACTCCATTCCGGACCCATTCGGCCAGCCATGTAACTCCATTCCAGACCCATTCGGCCAGCCATGCAACTCCATTCAAGACCCCATCAGCCAGCCGTGTAATTCCATTCCAGACCCCATCGGCCAGCCATGTAACTCCATTCCAGACCCCATCAGCCAGCCATTTAACTCCATTCCAGATGACATCAGCCAACGATGTAACCTTATCCGAGATCCACTCGACCAACCATGTCACTCCATTCCAGACTCCAGCAGCCATTGCCACCGTAATGCCATAACATTTGTTCTGTGCACCTGTCACCATTGCCCATGAAAAGTCCCAAGCCCTTGCGATCAATCCAGGAGACCTGGGTCTGAATGTTTCGAAGTCCTGACATGTGGCATTTCGGGGATATTTAGCACATTCTTTGAACTTTTGGATCTGCCAATAGATTTGAAAAGAGATTTCTAAAACCGTCTCCCATATAGACCGATGTTTACAGTTTGCTAGATGCTTGCTAGATTAACAGCTCGCCGGCACACATGTATATAACTTATTCTTAAACCAAAACTTGTCAACAAATATAAGACCTACTACATTTTTACGACAGAGAAATATATGAATCTCACTTAGTAAAGATAAACGTTCAATACCTTGCCATGTTTGGGTGTCCTGTTAACACTGGGTGAGCTGTTGATATCTGCCGAGCCCATGTTCTTAGTGAATTCGAAAACCAATTTCATGTCCAGTCTGATGGAGTCGATTTCCATCTTAACCACGTAATCCTGTAACAAGAAAATAGCAGTATTCACAAACTATTGGGGAAGCGGAGGGAGGGATTTCTCGGTTGTGCAAATGACATTTCTCTTTTTTGGGGGGATTCAAAAGACCGTCATAATAATTTGGATTGTCTCCCATCTCACCGACAGTAAATTGAAGGTATTTATGCGGAAAAAGGTTACGTCTGTGTCGCAGGGACTAGAGTGTCCCATCTTGTGTAGCTCATCCCGGGTGCTGTAGCACTCAAAGCGACTACGACTATTTCTACTCCTCCAGTACCCATTTATACACCTGGATGGAGCGAGGGACCGTGACATTAAAATTTTCCTGCCCAAGGGGTCGGTGGATCTGGAATCGATGCGGAGCCTAGCACAATAAAAATTTGTGCACAATATAACGCGCCTCACAACAACAATAACAACATAAACTAAGCCAAACAAACAGAGAAGAATGCAATATGGCCTTGCGCTAGCTAGCTTTCTGCAAATTCACCCACCTCATTAATCCAGCTTCCAGTGATGATCGTACCATGGATAAAATCCTTGAAGAAGAAATCCTGTTTCTCAACAGATTGTGGAGTTTCTGCAAAGATGAATTGATATAAGTTGTCACATAATGCATTTCGTTTAAAACAAAGGAACTTTCTCAGCTGATGTAACCGTTTAAAAAGCCAAAATAAAGACAAAAATGAAATGTAAGTATGTATCAAACAATTGTTTGTCTATTAACAAACAAATGGAAAGATCAGAGCAACGCGGTTTCAATAAAAGACAGTGGCCTTTGAGCCGGGAGTGAACTTAAATGTAACCGTTTAAGCGCGCGCTTCAAAGAGAAAGTAGCTGAAGAACGCTCGCGCGCAATGTTCTCACGTGAAGATTTCCATGACAACCATAGTTGTTTATGTTTTCCGAAAAGTGAAAACATTTTTGTCTGTCAACTTTCCCCACGATGAAGACCAAACTTCTTGTTCTTAAAAACTGCCGTTAATTTCTTCTTTGCATTCAGCGAATAAAGACTACATGATTTGTCTAGAAACACGAGTATCCATGATGAGGAAAAGACATTTCGTTAGAGGTGTAGGGTTGAAATTTTAGTGCGTGATAAAAAAAATGAAGAAAATAAAACATGAATAGAGATGAAACACAAGAAAAGACTTACCGTCTCGTTTGCCAGGGTGCGTAAGATACGCTAAAATCAAGAAAACTATCAGCGCCGAAAGCGGAAATATCACCTTCATGATTGCCAACAAAACTTTTTTCTTCTCACGATGAACGCACAACTTGTTCGTTCCGCGAAAAAGAGCGAAGTGAAAAGTGACGTCACAGTGAGCGTTTTACGACGCAGTGAGCGCGGGACTTTCAGTCTAGTTCCCAGCTTTTTTCAACGAAGTCAGTTTAGAGTGCGTTCCTTGAAACCGACGTCAGTTTAGCTAGTGTGCAGTCTTTCAAACCATTTTGTTTATTAGACAGAACATGTTCTTACATGTAAAGGTAATGCACTCATTTGGTCGAAAGTCGAGATGAAAAAATCCCATCTCCTTTTTTCACTTCTTTCTATACAATAACGTTTATTACAGTAGTTGCACGAGTAGCTTTTCGCTTTAGCCTTCTAGCATAGTTTTGCGGAGAGATTAACAAACGAGAAATAAAAATTAAAACAGTACTGTTCACATCTTTGTTCTTCTAGCCGTTTCGCAATGCATTATCATAATCGAGTGGTATTTAAGTTTGACTCGAGCGTCGATGAATAATGAAAAGCAAAACTCTTGTGTTTTATCTTAAATTTACACTGTTGTGTGCGATTGCCCTAACGAATTGTATCTGTTTTTATAATGATGTTGACTATTTACTTACTGGTGCCAAAACTCATTCACCTTGTCTATTTAAACCAATGATTTTAAAGGAAATGCACAAGAACTTGCTCTATTGTTAATCTGTTTTTCTATGCACCGATTCACTTACAAGATTTCTCTTGACACGAGTGTTAGCGTTTGAAATCGCAGTTATAAGAACACAAGACGCGGTAAACCAAAACGAAAGTTTTACCATGGAGGTGTTCAGGTGAGAAGGGTCGTTAGAGAACAATAAGAAGAATTAATCTGTTATTATTTGATCTTATACACTATAATCGATGTATTTTACGGGTACAAATTGTAACTCGGTCTTGTTAGAATCGTATCTTATGGTAACGCACTTCCGATCCAGTTTATTCACTGAGCAAATTTTGCGGAAACGACTTTTAAAATATGTGGTATCACTTAGAGTAGATCTTGCATTGGAAATGTGATTTTTATTATCTTTTTGTGGATTCAGTGTAATCCAAGTTTTACATAGCGAAGCTCGAATGTAAATAAGATAACGTTTTGGGGACTTCGTGCGATAGAAGTTAAATATTTTGCTGATCTTTTAATACCCGACTCCAAATAATTTTTGGTCAATTTTGGGTAAAAATATTCCTTCCTTTTCGGTCCTCTTAGAGTTGAGTGTTGTTACTCGGTCGTTTCGATCATCCATAACCTCTATTTATTTCATCGTAGCTCAATTGTTTAATTTTTCATTTAGATGCTAATTAACATTGTCCGGCTACAGTAAATGTCGCTTTCGGTGTTATCTGACTTGTACTCAAGTAGTATCGAGTTTCTCAGTTTAATTACGTCAATTTCATTTTCGCCCTTCGTAATTTTCCAGCGAGTTGTGTTGTTTTATTCCTCATACAGACAAACAAATTTTGTTTCATCTTTCAAATGGAGAGCAGTTGACAGTTTATTTCGGTCGACGAGTTTTCAGTTGTAGCACCTGTAAACAAGGCGACCCGCAGAGCCATTGAAAGCTTCTTTAATAAAAACTACCTTAAAGCCAGTAGCTAAATACAATAGCGTCGATCCATTTTTCCATTTTAAAAAAGCTCTGATTTAACTGCCTTGATGTACATCAAATTCCCAGAACTGACAAAAATGAAATGGAAAAATATTTGGAAACCGTTAGAAATGAAGAATGAATAGTTCCATTCGATTCCATCGGGAATGATGCCTGACTACAGTTAAGTTCGGAAACGCCTTCTTTCTTGTGACCGTACATGTAATAGTTCCATATTTATGAAACAATTCCTTCAGTAAACACTACCTGTACGTTTTTCTAAACACTCCTAAACAAAACTCTCCTGACTACATGGCTGAAAGAGACGCTAAACTGAATAGAGTATTTTCCAAATTTAAGACCAAGAAAGATAATTCATATATTAAATTGTCGATGGTGCTCTGCCTTTTCTTAGTCGGTGCTCAATCTAACTCAGAAACAGCCTGTTTGCCTACACCATCTAGTAATTCTAGACGTCTGTTCTGTTGTCTGAGAGAAAACTCATTTGTTTTCGATCGTGACAGAACACCGGGTTCGAGCAACGTATAACAAACAAAAAACGATCAAAAGAAAGAATTTGAAGGCCAAGCGTGTATTTTGAAGAGAGTTATCACTGTTACCCCTGAGATCAATTTTATTAAATAATTTGGTTGACAGTTATTACTGATGTTATGTATTTCAACGTGCGCTTTCCGGAATTATTTCCTCGTCAATAACTCGGTCAAGGTGTCTTATTCACCTGAGTTTGGTACCGAAAACAAAGAATTTCCTCCATTGTTTACTAATGTCCATCAAAATGAGTGAAGTAGAAAGAAAACACTTCTAATTCCGTTTTAATAGCTCCAACACTAGGATGGATCCATTCACTCGACTTTTTAAAGTAGATTAAATCGATTAACTGAATGTAATGCGATTACGTCCGCTTATGAAAGTTGGAATTGTTTAAGCAGGAAAGACAATTAATATATTAAACTGTCCATGTTGCCCTGACTGTTCTGTTTTGTGCGTAATCCGTTTAAAAAACATAGTATGTTCGCCTGCGCCCATAATTCCAGACTGCGCTGTTGTCTGGAAGGAAACTCATTTGTTTGCGATCGCGATAGAAAACCGGGTTTGACGAACGTAAAAAACAAAAATAACCGAAAGAAAGAAGGATCACTCGAGGACAGAAGCTAAAGTATCTCATTGTTACACAAATTTATCGATCTATTTTGTCTTGCACAGTAAGGGGTTCCTTTCTGGAGGTACTAAACACGAGGTTTAGGGGTGAGCTGTTCCGATTTGAATTAATCGCGTGCAAGGGTCTGTAGCAATCTGGAAGGAATTCTCTGGATCTGCAATCAGAGCAAGATTTTCTTCTCAGGATTAATGTATGTATATTAAGATGTACAAATGTTTAGGTCTTGAATCTCATTATTTCCACGAGTAAGCAGTTTACTTTCTACCATTCTCACAGGTCGCGCGTTGTATATGTCCGGTTGAATTAATGACTAAACAATTGTCCGCTGTGTCTAGAGAAGTTGCTAATCCGGGATCAGACGATAAGTGCATTTAGCTCTCTATCCGACAATACCATAAAAGATTGTCTATTCGAAGCGTTGAGATTGCATTAATGTATTTACTCTGAATTATTCGTTCAACGTGGCGCGAAATTAGAGCAGGAGAACACGCATGCGCCGATATCGAGGTTGTATATATATTGTTTTGAACTGCGAGTCAGCGATCGAGCGTTTTAGTTTAATTTTCAGTCGTGTATCAATGTTGTTCTACGCTTCTTAATTAATGTCTGTTTTAGCTGCACAATGTCCGAACTTCGAAGGAGGAGAGGGGGTCAAGGAAAGGACAAAAATCGGCATTCATTCCATTCCAACGGGAGCACGAAAGGGCAGCAGACAGAACATACAAAGGAAGGCGGAGTACATTGGTTTAGTTTGGCCAATTTTCTTGTGGGAGCAACAGTCGCCTTGATTGTGGGAGTGAAATATGCTTTATATGTACGAGAACTCCACGAGAATGATATGTGGTTTTCCAATATTGGTGTAAGTTCACGTTTTTATTATTATTTGCAGTGCTGAATGTGTGCACCATTTTTTGCTTACCTACATAACTTAAGCTTAAGCTTATTTTGAAATCATTTTTTTTCCCTTGCACAGTAAAATCGCCGTTAAATTTTAATAAGTTAAGACAGTTACGATGTACTGATATTGTATAAAAGCCAAGCGTTATATTTCCCATTATGTCTTGAAAGCTAGAATTAATGATTTGAAATGCCATTATTAAAATCGCTCAACTTCCGCGTCAGATCAGGGTCAATCACGAAGAATGAATAAAATACTCTTTCCCTGTGCAAGCTGAGAAGAAAATTCTACCTCACCATTCAAAGAAAAAAATATTTCTTCTCAATGGTGTTATTAACTATTCTTTTCTAACTGTACGAATATTGAACTTCTGTTACCAATTCATTATCGATAATATATCCATCACTATCTTTGAAAATCTTGAACTCAGATGAGCTCTTAAATTTTCTAGGGGTTAAATTCTAACAAATAAAATAATAACTAAAAATAAAATGCTTTCTGTCACCAGTTTTTTTCTAGAAGTATTTTCATGACAATTTGGCATGGCTCTACTATGGACAAGAAATGTCTTTATTAATTCTTATATTCTTATATAATTTGTTTGACAAAGGCTGCATTGCAAACTTATGTTTCTGTACCCTAGCAACACTTTTGGGAACAGCTGGTAGAGGGTCCCTTATAGGATTTTCAACCCGCCTTCCCAACTAGAATTTTCCTTGGATCCCGTAATCCTGAGCATTTCTATCAGCTAATCCTGATCAACATTTTCTTAAGTCCATTACATACCTCGACAGAAAAGACCCTGTGCAATTGAGCTCCAGATTCCCTCACAACAAACCCAAGAATTGACTTTTATAGGTTCAGTTATTTGTCAGTATCTCTCTCCACCAAAGTGATGACATTGTGCAGTTGTTTTCACAATCCATTTCATATGGGTGTCCACAGTCAGTCAAGGCATGTCTTTTTTGTAGCTCATTTCTTTTCCTTTGTTTATCTGTTTTGCGCCTGCCTTACCAATCTTTTTGATCACTGAAAAACTTGTCACTTGGAGATGGTAACAATCAGAGCAGAGCAATAAGGAGATCACAGAGATCAAATGGAAACCAACCTTTACAAGTACACATCACCCACATGCCACAGCAATCTCTCAGTTCATTATTTGCATAACGCGACAGAGTCTGAAATTATGTCATCATAAATAAATTGCATAAGTCAATTATGATATGGCTGGATTTATGCTGAATTGGGGCAGTTTAACATCAGATCATACCTCTCAGTTTGGTTTCTCCATTGCATATCTTAGTTTGGCTGTATTACGTCTCTCCAAAATATGAACCATGGCTTGACAGAGCTTGCCTGACAGGGTTTGAAATTGTGACTCACTTGTTGCCAATATGACCAAAAATTGAGCACTGGCGACTAAATTTTCACAACTGGTCGCCAGCTGGTGACTCACGTTTTGTCCAATAACTAAAGAAAACCACGACACCTTGGGGGGGGGGGG